TCTTTCTTTGTTTCTTTCTCTCTCTCTCACCACCCCCCTTCTCTCCCTCCTTTCCTCCCTCTCAAATCAATAAACATAGTCCCCCAGGTGAGGATTAAAAACACACACAAAACAAAATTCTTACCTTAGTTAGTTTGCCAATAGCATAAACAAAAAGGAGTATAATTCCAACGACACCAGCTATCACCCCAAAAATGATGGCTATTATCACTATGGGAGAAAAAGAGAGCAGAAAATTACAAAAATGTGAAATCAGTTACCACGTATCAATGGAAAAATAAAACAAGTGAAATCAGGGTAATATCACTTTGCCTTTTCATAGGAAGGACATTAATATATGTATATTTTATCTTTTCAAAAATTAGGTTTTTTCAATTAACCATGTGAAAAACTGAACCTTTGAATAGTAAAGTCAGAGGTCACATTTCTGACAGAACCAAGACCCAAGGGCTCCAACTCCAAATCCAGTGCTCTTGGCGGGGCCTCACGGGCGTGATTATGGATGGCAGCTATGGGACGGGCCGTTCTGCCCCGATGTGCGGACACATAAAGTGTTTCATAGATTCCAAGTGATGAGAGAACAGAATGTCTTGATCTAGAAAAGGGGCATTGGACAGATCAGAGAATCAGAGCTTCGGAAGGAAACCGGGATAAGCAGTTTGCTAATGAAGAAACTAAGACTAATGAGCTAGTTACTCATCCCAGGTGAGACAGCTAGTTAGAAGGGACGTGACTGCCACTCAGGTCACCTAGATTCTAAGCGTCTGTTCCTTCTGCACTATCCTTCTGCACGCCCTGTAATATAATCACTAAAAATGTTTTTCAAGCCTTTCCGCGCTGGGAGGGAGATGAAGTGTGAGTCCGCGCTCTGCACATCCCCGCACATTCGCCGTGATTCCGAACGAAGCAAATAGAAGCAGAACGTACAGGAAACACGGCTATTTATTGGGCTAATTCACATGCAAAAGTCTCATTATCAATGAAAAGAAAGTTAAAGTAACTTTTTCTCCCGTTGGTATCGCCCAGCACTCCTGTCCACTTAGCCGTAATTTATGCGACAGCGATTTAGCTCCACAGCCCATTTTTTCGAGCGTGTGTGAAGTTCGGGCACAGGCCAAGTGTGAGGGAGGCTGAGAAAGGCAGGACAGTGGGTCAGCGTGTAAAGGACTAGAGCAGGTCTACAGAAGCCCTACGGGGAAAAGTGACAACCCCCGGTCGTAGAGGGTTGAGAGACAGCCCCAAAGTGGCACCAGGGGGCCAAAAATGAATTGAGATTGAGACATAAATGGCTGTATTTATTCTTGATATGGGGCCAGTTAATGAAATGATTTTAAACTCTGGTGTCTTCACAGTAGGGATAAAAGAAGTTCAATGGTTTCATAAGCTCCTAAGAGACTTTTCTCTAGTAACCACGGTGGTTAGAAAGCTAAAAAATGTAAAAGAAAAATTGTTATCATCATGTATTGCTGTTTCCAAAAATGTTTAAGAAAATAAGAAATGCTCATTTTAATTTTAAAAAGAGCATATTTTGTTTGCCTTTTCAATTTTGTCTGATTAAAGTTAATAACATATGCTTTTGTTTTTAAAAGGAACACTTCTTATTTTCTTAGGCATTTGGAACTAGCAACACATAATTAAACTGGAAAGACTGTCAGTCCATACAAGTAAATATTAACATACCTGGTTCTGAGAAAGCATGAGTTATTTGTTTTCTTGTTCCTAAAAAGACAAAATTTCAAAGTAAGTCAGAATGCGTAAGTTAGCTTGTCTAAAAGATGCCATTTTGGAATTAGATAGTTTAGAGGGATTCTTTCTCTTAACTGTGTTTAGGGAGCTATTGTTCAAGTTTCAACAGCTGGCAAAACTTATGAGCTATTGTCTTACTCTATTAATAATTCCCATACCTACTTTCAACTGCCCAACAAGCTTTCATGGGTCAGAAATTAGCCAACTATCTTATTGACTGACGTGTAGGGTATTACAGACTATTGAAAGAACCACCTATTGATTTCCACAAGAAACAGTGCATTTTTTAAAAAATGTAAAAATAGCCCTAGCCAGGTAGTTCAGCTGGTTGAAGCACCATCCTGACATCAAAAGGTGAATGAGGTTCGATTCCCAGTCAGGGCACATTCCTAGGTCACGGGTTTGATCCCTGGTTGGTGCAAACAAGAGGCAACCAATTGATGTCTCTCTCTCTCAAATTAATAAAAACACATCCTCAGGCAAGGATTAAAAAAGTGTAAAAAGATAAGAAGAATTTTTTAATGTAAGAATAGTGAACAGAAAGGAGACACATTGAGCCATCACCCCACGTAGAGTTCAGGCCAACCGAAAAGAAATCATACATATTGCTATCAATTTTCTAGATTTATGCCACAGCCACCAGCTGAATCCAAATCCCTACTGTGTCTCCTCTGAGCTTTTGTCAACAGTCCCACTAAATTCTCTGTCTGTAGATGTTTCCAGTACAGTTGCCTTAATGCTTTCCCAGAGTTACCCTCCCCCTTATCAGTCCACAGTTTACACTTCTTTTTCTGCTGTCTCCAAATGCCATTTTATGTCACCAAGCCCTCTTACCACTACAACCACGTAACTTTCTTTTCTTTTTTCTTTTTCTTTTTTTTTTTTTGGTTAATCATCACCCAGGATATTTTTTCCATTGATTGTTTTTTGTTTTTTGTTTTTTTTGAGATTGGAAGGGGGAGAGAGAGAGAGAAGCATCGATGTGAGAGAGACACCTGTAAGCACCTGTTGCCTCCTGTAAGCACCTGATTGGGGCCAGGAATTGACCTTGTAACCCAGGTATGTGCCCTTGACCGGGAATCCAACCTGCGACCCTTCAGTGTGCGGGCCAACACTCTTAACCACTGAGCCACATCAGCCAGGGCCACCACAAAATTTTCTTGAATTTGATTATTACAAATAACGTATTGCACCATATTGTGTCACATAGTCAATGACTTGATTATGTTTGGTCATTCTGGAGCAGTTATTTGTAAAGGTTAATTGGGGCCTGTCTTCTTCTTTGTGGCAGTTACAGCTGTGGTTGGTGTATGAGCTCTGGCAAAGAACAGATGGGGTTTTGGTCTTTTACTAGCTGGGCAGCCTTGGACACGTTATTTAATTTCTTTGTGCTTTAGAATTCTCTTGAGCAAATGAAGACTATAATATCTATCTCTTGGGGTTTCTATAAGGATCAATCAGGTAATGCATGAAAACTCTTAGCACAGTGCCCACCGTGCTAGCTGTTATTTATAGGATTCATGGCAGGGAGTGTGTGTGTGTCTGTAGTTGGCCCTTAAATGTTTTCTGGTTTGACACACACCATGTTGACTTCACGTTGAAATCATTTTGAAAACTGGATTGTTTAATTGGGCTCAGAAGCCTAACAATTAGTTCCAAGCATTTAGCCTAATTTTCCTCTCTTGGTCTTTGTTAAAATTTGTTCCTTCTTTTATCTTGGTACGTTTTCTCAATACTTCTACTAGCTAATGATCATGTAGCCACTTTAAGTCTTCTTTGAAGCTTTATTTTAAATCTGGAGTATCCTGCTCCGACCTCACCTACAAGGACCCTCTTTCTTTCTACGTTCAGCCCTCTCTTGTAAATTCATCTTCTCCCCAGAGAAATAACCAGAGAGTGGATGCTGCCTGACTACCCTTTATCTCAGCACCCAGCTTGGCTTATAGTTATCAGCAATCAGGCACTTCTGATGTGTCAAACTCCGAGCCAAGCAATTTTACACACATCTTTTTCATCTTTAGAGAAACACCATGAGGTGAGTATTATGGGTCTCATTTAAAAATTAAGGGGACACAAACCCTTTGGGGAGAGTCCCCAGGGTCAGCAGCTGGGACAGCTGAGCCACCCTTGGATCCACCACAAGTTCTCCTCTCCGCTGCATTTGTGGCTCCCTTTATGTGCTCCACCATCTCACAGTCACATTCACCCTTTATGTGCTTTGCTAAATTGCTTTATTTCTTTAACCCAAAGTATTGTTTCTGTGAGGGATTCCAGAAGTGAGAATTCCTCAGAAGTATAGGGACTGTGTCTACTTATTAGCTTTGTTTCTTAGACTTCCAGTTTCCTCGAAGCGACAGTTCCCGTGAAATAGTGCTGTGTCATAACAATAACTCCAGGGCAACTATTTAAAAATATGGACACACTTTCTCCACCTCCATTTTCGACGGGTTGTCCTCTAGTAGTGGAAACTTCTCTTGGTCTTTGGTAAGCAGTAGGAGTGGCTTCATGTAATTCCCTCTCTGTGACAGCCCAAACTGTGTAAAATAGAAGTTGAGAAAGGCATCAAGCATATCACAAGAGACAAATTTATCCCAGGTCTCTCCCACATGCATAGCATTTTACATAACTTAGGGAAATTGTCTATGTTCTGTGTTTCCTTTTCCTCACTTTGTCTCCCAGGTACAATCCTATTTTCTCAGTAAAAATTAAAACAAAGACATTTTAAATTCAATTTTCTTCTAGCTTCATAGAAGGTAAATCATTCTGAAGGTTCCTCACCCATACTTTTTTCTCTGTCTTTATACATCCTCAGATGCTTAAGCTACTTTCAGATTTCAAGGTAAGGAAACCAAAATTCCATAATATGTACCCCCAACAACCACCAAGAATATTCTAATGCTACTTTTGATAGCCACAGCCCTCACGTCTATCTGGGTCTCCCAGGTTTCTCAGGCCCTAATCAGTTAACAGACATCTGTGGACATAGTTATGCAAAATTGTAAAATTTCTGTTGAATACGTGGACTTTAAATGGGGCTTTTTACAATAGACTCTTTAGTTGGGTTTACTTGGTAGAAAGGGTCCAAGTAAACTTGTAACCATTAAACCACAGACATGGTTTGCCTTACCTCTTAGGGACTAGGTTATGCGAAGGGTCTCTCCTCAGCCCTTCCTTCCTTCCTTCCTTCCTTCCTTCCTTCCTTCCTTCCTTCCTTCCTTCCTTCCTTCCTTCCTTCCTTCCTTCCTTCCTTCCTTCCTTCCTTCCTTCCTTCCTTCCTTCCTTCCTTCCTTCCTTCCTTCCTTCCTTCCTTCCTTCCTTCCTTCCTTCCTTCCTTCCTTCCTTCCTTCCTTCCTTCCTTCCTTCCTTCCTTCCTTCCTTCCTTCCTTCCTTCCTTCCTTCCTTCCTTCCTTCCTTCCTTCCTTCCTTCCTTCCTTCCTTCCTTCCTTCCTTCCTTCCTTCCTTCCTTCCTTCCTTCCTTCCTTCCTTCCTTCCTTCCTTCCTTCCTTCCTTCCTTCCTTCCTTCCTTCCTTCCTTCCTTCCTTCCTTCCTTCCTTCCTTCCTTCCTTCCTTCCTTCCTTCCTTCCTTCCTTCCTTCCTTCCTTCCTTCCTTCCTTCCTTCCTTCCTTCCTTCCTTCCTTC